AAGGAGCACTCACAGCTTGGACAGCGCAGGGTCCACTTTTGCCGTGGGCTCGAATCCAGGCAAGAAGAAGCCGGTGTAGTTCATCTTCTCCACCAGGGTGTGTGTCGTGTCCCCATACTACAGGCGGAAAACAGCCTGGCTGGGCCCCGAGCTCCCATCCCCCGAACCCAGGACTGACCCTAACTCGCTGGGTGACCTTGGGCAAGTCCCTTCCCCTTTCTGAAATGAATTGCAATCTGTCATTTGGGCATTTCTTTGACCGTCTAGTTTGTCCGCCGCACAGGGCCAGAGGTTCTAGTTTGGATCAAACTGTACCTAAGGGCTCTTTCAATCTTTTTTTTTTTTAAAATATGTTTTTATTGATTTTAGAGAGAGGAAGGGAGAGGGAGAGAGAGACAGAAACATCAATGATAAGACAGAATCATCGATCGTCTGCCTCCTGCACGTCCCCTACTGAAGATCGAGCCCGCAACCCGGGCCTGTGCCCTGACCGGGAATCGAACCGTGATCTCCAGGTTCAGGGGTCAACGCTCAACCGCTGAGCCACACCAGCAGGGCTCAATCTTAGCCTTTTTTTAAAGAATTTTTTTTTTAATTTTAGCCATTTTTAAGTCGTATTTAACCTTGAGAAGGTAGGACTTGTGGTTGTCTCTGCATGACTATCACACAGGTGCGAAACACACTTGGCAACCTTTGCCTGAGTGTCTACTATGCCCGGCACGCTTGTAGTGATCTCATTCGACCTTTAACCCCAGGAGGGTTACAGCTGAAGAAACTGAGGCACATAAAAGTTAAGCAGTGCGCCTCAGATCACACAGGGGGTCCAGCCCCAGTCCCTGCTCATTTAAATGTAGGCACAGAGAGGTGAAGTGACTTGCCCAAAGTCACACAGCTAGTGGGCGGGCGGTGGGGCTTCCCCAGACCCGCTCCCTCTACTTTCTTCAAAGTCTCTGCCTGAAGCCCACATCCCCATGATGTCACCCCCCTGGGGAGGAAGGGAAGCCC